ACTAGGAAAAAATTAACTCTATCCCAGCCGAAACCAGGACAACTTGGCACCTCGCAAGCTCACTAGGGTCTCTGCCTGTCATGAGATGTACCTGCACGGAAATCTGAATTACAATGAAATTGCAGTACTTTAATAACTGCAAAGACAAGCATGACATGCAGTGTAGGAAAGAACCTATTGGCCAGTAATCATCTGAAGTGAGTGTGTTTGGATATGAAGTTCTTTAAAAGAAAGACAAGGAAATTAGGGCCATTGAATTAAAAGTTCATTAGAATTAAACTGTGTTTAAAAACTGAAAATCCTCACTTTAAAATTCTGCCTTTTAACTGTGGAAAGGTGGGAAGGGCAAGTTACATTTGACTGTTCTAGTGACACAAAGCTTTTTCCAAACACAAAGCATTGGTGAGAGTTTCTGCCTGAAAATGAAACTAGTATTTGAGTTTGAAAACTGCAGTTCAAAAATACTCTCATGCTTTAGGGATTTCTATGACAGTGGTCAAGAGTAAAAATGTTTTTTAAAACAACAGAAACAGAGAAATGACAGATGTTGTTTTTTTAATGACTTATTATATCTAGAATTTTCATCACCTGGTTGTCAGAAAATCAATTTACTTGTGAAAAGTGGTCTTGTTTGAATGATTTGCTCATTTTTGCAAAGAAACTTTTTAATGACTATTTCTTCAATTCTTTTGGGTTTTTTTGTTTTGTTTTTCAACACCTTCAAGCCTTCAAGTTCTGTGGAGACGTTCTTTGATTCTCTTGTGAGGCAGGCAAAGATCCCCAACATTTTCTCCTTGCAGATGTGTGGTGCTGGACTGCCTGTTCCTGGAAGTGGTACCAACGGAGGTAGTCTTGTGGGTATCTGTCAATCTGAGAGGGAAGATGTATCTTTGTTAATCTCTCTCCCTCTTTTCTATGACTATCCTAATTCTTCCAAATTTAGTGTTTAAATATATGAAAAGTTTTATTATTTTTTAAGGAAAAGTTAAGCATTTAGGCAAAACTCCAATGTCTATTTTTATTCTCCATTCTTTTTTTCTCTCTCAATTTTGAGTAAACTTCTGCATTTCAAGCTTAATTTTAATATAGAAAAACATAAATACTGTGGTGTTTCCTCAGGGCAGATGCTGCTACCTTTCTTAAACTGAATAGTCCCTTACTCAGCTGCTAAGCTTGTTCAAACTTGTCAAAATGCTACAGGAATTTTTTTTACATGATGTGAAAAGGGGGAGAGGAATCAGGGCCCTTTATTTCCTTTAGGAAAAAAAAAAAAAAAAGGGTAATCTGAAGATCAGATCTGCCCCTTGTTGTTACTCTGGGAAGACTTTCCACCAGTTTTAGTGGGACCAAGAATTGGCATTTATTTGGATCATGAGTTGGAATGACTGTTCCTGAATTATGCTGAAATAAGCATATCAGCACAGGACTTGATCACAAATAGTTATTTTGCTGTAAATTCACAAAGTGTAAATGGTAACACACTTGAGATAGATGAAGCCTAAGAGAGAACTCACTTACGTTAGTTCAGTTCAAAATTTTATGGTCTAGGATGCTCCCAGTCACCTTCAACATAAGTCTTGATGGAAGCTAACAGTGATAGCAATGATGGGAGGGTCATATTCCATTTTGGATATGTGTAAGAAAAATGAAATGTTCTTAAGTGGTATTAAGGCTTTTTTGATCTGATAAAGTGTGTTTATGATGTGCAAGTTTAATATTCTGTCCCATTTTTATACATTGTCTAGATTAAACCACTAAAGATACTGTTTTGATTTTAAGCAGTGGATTCTCTTTCATAAGAGAATCAGTGTGAGCTTGTAGATGAAGATGCTGGTAATTTGGCCCAATATGGGAATTCTGTTTGACTGAAGCACAATCTAGTTAATGTCTAGTTGTTTCATACTGCTTTATTATTGACAAAGACTTGTAAGTAAAATCCTTAAAAATGGTGCTAAATTAAAATTTTGATGCCCTGTGTATCACAATTAATTATTCCCCTTTTTTCCTGTACTTGCCCCAAAATCAAACATCTGGGATTTTAAAGCGTGTGAATTTCTTTCTCCTTTCCCTTAGGTTCTGGGTGGAATTGAACCAAGTCTGTACAGGGGTTATATTTGGTACACACCGATCAAAGAGGAATGGTATTACCAAGTCGAAATTCTCAAACTGGAGGTCGGAGGACAGAACCTTGAACTGGACTGCAGAGAGGTATTTGCGATAATGTGTCTCCGTCTATATAAAACACAAGTTTGGTTAACAAAAACACTTAATTGATCAGTTTTGTCACTGCAAGCAGATGTGTATTGCAGTCTCGTCTGAGAATTAAGGCTGCCTGGTATGCTTGAAAAAAAAAAAAAAGAACGAGCCATGTGAAATGCAGTGTGTACATTAAGCATGCTAAAATTGCTTCAGAGAGGACTTTAAAGTCATTGATAGTATTTTCAGTAAATTAGGGACTAAGCTACAATTGTCAGGTGAACAGTCCACTGAAAATAAGGCTGCTGTGGTTTGGAAGGGCTCAGCCTCTTGACTAGTTTCAGTTGTAACACAGGTGTCTAAACACTGGAGATGGTGCATTGATTCAAGGAATAACCATCTTTAAACAACTACAGTTTATGGTTTGCTGTTACACCGTAAAATCAAACCAAAGGGTTTTAAAGCAATTCTGGTCAAACAAAGAAAAGGGAAGGTTTTGGACTGACCCCTGTGGTGATGTCTAAGCATGTAATTCACTACGGCAGTGGGCAGGTGTCATCATGGGATGCTTCCCAAAGTATCTCATCCTATGCCTCCTTTATTTTTGTAATCCACTTTTGCTTGCTTCAGCCTTGTCAGTTATTATTCCTGATGGATATGTTTTCTGTTTTTATTAGGAATAATGTCCTTCTATCTTTGGATCACTCTAATGAGACTGTGTTGTTGCAGTTTTTATTCCAAAGATGTTTCATTTTTTTCTGAAGGATATGTGTGTATGTGTGTATTTCATTTGTTTCTTACTGTTGCTTGTTGCTATTCATGTTTTCATTTTAGTTCTATAATTTCCATGCCCTGTTTTCATTAGCCATCTCAATTTTATCTTATGCTTGTTCTCTTAGTTGGAAATCATTGGGAGATGATAATTCTAAAGTTTATATAATGCATACAAATTAAGTGAAATTCATTATAAAAATCTTACATGTGCATAAATATTATATTTCCATACAAAATATGGAAATCATATTGCCACATAAAATACTTAAAATTAGTCATATCGTCTTTCAACTTAATAAGCAAAACAAGGTCTATTTAAATGGCTCTCTCTATTATACTGTTAGGAAAGCAAAACTGCTGGTTCTCTAACGTAAATGTTTGTGTTTGCTTTTTCTTTCTCACCTTAAAAAAACAGTCAACATGTTTTTGAAGAGGAACCCTTGTACTAATGGTTTAATACATGCTGTGTCCAGAAAACAACTCACTTAAAAACCTAGCGCTGTTACGAAAGTTTCCTGTTATTGTTGCTCTTTTCTGAGCCAGGGTTTGCTTTCACATTGTACATATTAGCACAGTATGCTAGTCACTGTTACAGAAGGCATCATTCCTTTCTTGATCAAAGGAGATCTTCCTGCAAAAATTTCTAGAGGAAGAACAGTAAATTAGAGCTAGTATGATTAAAGTTTGGCTAGTTAGGGGCTGGCAGAGGATGCATGATTCACTGCAGAGGATGATGAACTATGTGCCCTCTCTCCTCTTAGTTGTTTCCTAGAAAATGGGACGTTTTTTGTAACCGTAACCAGAGACTACTCCTTTCCTTGCAAGGGAAAATTAGTCCCCTCACTTCAATGCCGGGAATCTGTCCAGCATTGTGCTGCAGCTGTGGCCTTGAGCCTGGCAGACCAGGGCTGAGAGAAGTACTGAGCTGCCAGCAGTGCACGCTGCATAGGGTGCACTGTTAAATATTAACCGGGAAGACTAAGGCAGCAAGAAGGTACTGCCTGCTGCAAGTATACTGTATATAGCATGAAAATCCAGGTGCTTAGTCCCTGGCCAACTGATCCTGCTACTCCAAGAATTTTGCATGGGTTTATGTTAGTGACTGACACTCTTGGCTGTGCCTCCTACCTACTTTTTTTCCAAAGGTGGCTCTCCAGGATGCTGGCAGTTATGTATTTGTGGTACAGATCTGTTAAAATGGACTCCACTCCTTGATATTTCTCTCCACTCTTTAGAAGTATTTCTGAGCGTATAATAAATGGTTTCCTGTTTACTTCTCTTTCAGCTCTGCTTGGCAGCCTATAGCATCTCTTCTTTCAAAAACAAAATAACTAAGAGTTACTTTTTTACTTTTTGGTGGGTTTTACTTTTGTTGCTGCACTAAAGATATTCCATGTGACTTGATAACATCTGAACCAATGTATTTTAAATTCACTTGCTGTTTGACCTCTTCCTAAAAAGCTTATGCTATATATTACCTTGTGTCTTATGATTATGCCATAAACTTTTCACTGGTGAGTTTTATTGATTCTGCTGCCTAAGCTGGTAACAAAAGTAGTTAGTACAAACAGCTGCCACTGCTACTTGCCTTTTTTTTTCCCCCACAATTAATCAGAGTTCATGAAAAAAGACGTACCTTCTAAAATGTTTATTCTTTGTTTACTGCATCTGAAGTTTGCTGAAATCTCTTAATCTGAGGGTTGGGGTTTTAATAATGAAGAGAAATGTTTGCTTAGGTTTTTTTAGTGCAGATTTTGAGGCAGCAAGATTGACATTTCAAGTTTCTTTGTACTTGTTTTTGTCTGTGTTTTAGTGGTTTTCAGCAGTCGAGAGAGAAAGGTGTGGCATTTCGCATTTGTACTCTTGAGCCAGTACCAAAAATAACATGTAATGAGGTCTAATGTTCCCTAACTATTCTTCAATTAGATATGCCAGTCATTAAAAGTAGGCTCCTGTATTGTATTTAAACTAGAGTGAGTTGTTTTCATGATAACAGAGACCTTGATCCAGAGCTTGGGCTTATGTGTAAGCTACATCAGGGTGCTTAGCATCTGTCTACACTGACCATGATAGTGCTTTTGCCCAAAGCATATGGGAGGTAAAGTGGGTTAGCTCACACCTCTGAGAGGGGCCAGGCTTTACTTCTTTTTACAGTAGCTTGGCCATTTGCAACAGCTGTGGTGACACACAATAAGCTCTTGAGTGGTGCAGATAAGCTTAGTCTTGTGTCTAGGCTGACCATACCTTGCTTTTGCTCTCAGACTTCATTTGAATTCAAGTTATCAACTAGAGCGAGCTGCTGACAGGTATGACATGCAGGTTTGGTAAGACAGCTACCAAAAAGGAACAGCTTTGTTATTGTTATGAAACAGTGGAATCTGCATTATGTTAAGTATAGTGTGTAACTTCTCTCCTTTTTTTCCCCCCTCCCTAGTATAATGCCGATAAAGCGATAGTAGACAGTGGGACCACGCTCCTTCGTCTGCCTCAGAAAGTCTTCAGTGCTGTTGTGCAAGCAATAGCTCGCACATCTCTGGTAAGCTAATGTCATTAAATCTGCTTGAAATGTTAAATTCCTATTAAATGATCACATGATCTTTGGAAGGAGTGTCATCTTTGCTATCTACCTTGTAAGTCATAGGGTCTTAACCTGAGGGGAGCAGAATCTCTCCTGGTCTGCTCCTGTTAATAAGTGAGAAATGACTTTGGTGGAAACAGAAAAGGGAAAGGAAGAGGTGAAAAGGGAAAGGAAGAGGTGAAAAGGGAAAGGGAGGAGAGAAAAGGGGGGTCCAAGTACAGACAAGAAGTGTGTGTATGGAAGTGCATCAGAAATGATGCAGAGATGGAATATTTTTATTCTAAGCATTTCAGAAACACGGACATAATCCCTGTTGCTCTGATTCAAAGTATTAAGAGTGCAAAAATCAGTCCTTTCATTCAAAATGGACTATTTATAAAGCAGAAGAACCTGCTACTGCAAGCAGTTCCTTTCCAAGTATAATGCTTATTGTTGTATAGAATGGATGCCATTCATTAGGATTATTCATATCAATAAAGCTGCTTTTGACCTCCATTATTGAATTATTTATGTTTAAAAGTGTCTTTCTTTGGAAATAGTGGGCTTTAGAAATAGGGCGTGGGGATGGTGGATTTCTCCGAGTGTAGAGTAACTGAAGCAGCATTTTCTGGTTAATAAAAAATTTTCATAAATTTTGGTTGAATACGATGAACAGCACCAAGAATGTCAAAGATGGTGAATAAATCCCAGATATTTCAGTGTGTCGCGGTTTAGCCCCAGCCAGCAACTAAGCACCACGCAGCCGCTCGCTCACTCCCCCTACCCCCATGGGATGGGGGAGAGATTCGGAGGAGGAAGAGTGAGAAACACTCCTGGGTTGAGATAAGAACAGTTTAATAATTGAAATAAAGTAAAATAGTAATGCTAATAATAACAATATAATAATGATAATGATAATAATAACAATATACAAAGCAAGTGATGCACAATGCAATTGCTAACCACCCACCGACCGATACCCAGACAGTTCCCAAGCAGCAATCGCTGCTCCCCAGCCAACCCCACCCAGCTTATATACTGAGCATGCTGTCATATGGTATGGAATAGCCCTTTGGTCAGTTTGGATCAACTCTTCTGGCTGTGCCCCCTCCCAGTTTCTTGTGTACCTGGCAGAGCATGGGAAGCTGAAAAGTCCTTGACTAGCATAAGCAGTACTCAGCAACAACTAAAAACATCAGCATGTTATCAACATTATTCTCCTACTAAATCCAAAACATAGCACTATGCCAGCTACTAGGAAGAAAATTAACTCTATCCCAGCCAAAACCAGGACACAGTGTGAACAATTTTAATATTTTTGTCATGGATTCACAATCAGACAGCGGTAGTTGTTGCAAATCACAGGAAATACGGTAACCGGACTATTGGCCAGCAGGCCAAAAGATAGAGTGTTTGCCTGTATGCTGATAATTCAAGATTGAGATCCTTTTCCTACATGATTGAGAGCAGAGATTTTCCATGAAGTGTTCTTCGCTGCCTGCAGGTGTCCAGTATCTGAAATAAATGTACCGGTTACCTTATGTGGCTCAGCTTCCCTGGATGAAAAGTTCTCTTTACAAAGCATTTAAGTATTGACTGGAACACTTTCAGTCAACTGGGGGGGAGGGGGCGGGGGGCAGTTGAAAGAAGCCTACCCAAGAGCTCGTGTAATGGCACCATGTGGATAGGGCATCCTTCTGTGAAGTGGGACACAGCGGTCCACACTCTTCTCTGATGTTGGTCAGGACATTTGAACTAGGGCCTTCCACATGACAAGTAAGTAGTCAACTGATCAATAAGATATTAGAGGGGAACCACTCACTCACTCTGCTTAATGGTTTTTGTTCTTCCTATTAAAAATGCATAAACTAACTCTTCTTTTTTATGGTTTATTTTTAATCTCAAGGACCTTGCTGCTCTACCCCTTTCCCTCCACATGCACAGAAAATTACTTTCACAGCTCTAAACAAAGGAGATAGTCTATTAAATAAGAAAGTAGTTACAAGATGTAAGGATCAGATTCCAGCTGTGTAGAAGCAATGTCAGGAAAATGGGTATTTTCAGCAATTGTACCATGGCATCACAACTGTACTTTGAGCGCTCTGTGCTTCTGGCAGGCTATGTACCACTGAAACATAAAATCATCTGCTGTAGTCAGACATACTTCTGACCACAGGCGAACCAGGTTAACAAGTTCCTCCTGTTACGAGCTTCCCAGCAAAATGTTATTGCCCCCTCAGGTATGCTGGGATAACTGCATGTGAAGTGTTCCTTTATTCAGCTCCATTAAAAACCAAGGCTGTGATCTTTATGCTCTTTAGTGGTGCAGATTGTTTTTTAAACCCTACTTATGTGGACTGAAATCTTTTAGGGAGCAGATATAGATGCAGTTTGATGTTGGCAGATCTGAAGGGTGGTGGTTTTGGTAGGTGGGCAGAGATGAGCCACAGAGGGGTGGCAGCTACTACACCTCACTGAGCTGAAGTCAGAACAGCGTATCTACTCATGGCATTAATATAATACTAAATTAATAAGTTGAAGAAAGGAAGGCTGAAATAAACCTAAAATCTTAATTTTAGTAACCTTTTAGGTGTCATACAGCCAAATCCCCCCCAATGCATTCTTCAGCATACAGAAGTAAGGCAAAGAAATGCAATGTAATAAGCAGTCTTTCTGGGAAATGAAAGTAGGCACTTAAAATAGAGCACTTTATAGACTTGGTCTGTCCAGTCTGGGTGCTGTCTTGCAGTTTTTCTCAGATCACAAGCTCTGCTTTCCAAGAGAAAATGGAAAGAGAGGAGAGGTATATTTTTCAGCAGGTCTGGCCTGGGATTTAGCCGTGAGGGGCAGAGCATTCTGTCCTGTGCCAAGAGATGTACTTAAGCACGCATTGAGAGTTAAAGGTAAAAGCAGTCTGTTTGTGACGGTAAGTCTCATTGTTTACATGAGAGTATGCTTGTTGGCCCAAGAGCAGAGATGAGCACCTGGAAGTATTAGGTCTCTAATACTGTGCAGCCCTAATGAATATTTCATTGCCAGGTATGTGGGGTGAATGCTTGTCACCTGTAAAATGCCATATAACTAATGTATGAGCTGATGTTCACAAAATAATCAGTATCACAGATAAATACAAATGAGGGGAGTGGAGAGGCTGGATTCCATCTTCTTCACCCAAACAGGAGGCTTTGGCTGTGCAGCATAAGAACAAGATGCTGCCTTGGATGTTGCTTCACGTGGGAATAAGAACCAGCACAAAGTAATACACTCAAATCAGGAAGGTTTTTCCTCTGATCTGGCAGCAGGTCAGCTTCAGGGAGCATTAGAAAATATCTTTGTCTTAGGCAAACAAGCTCTGTAGGGGTTTGCTTTTTGCTTTGTTAGTGCCATGGATATATTAAGAAGTACTGTTAATCAACTTTATTTCAACAGCATGTCAAGTTGTATTGGTAGTGAGTGGCAGGGCAGCAAAAGAGACAGAGGGATGTGTTTCTTTCCGTTGACTGTAGCAGACCTTGATTCCCTTAGATGCCAGGAGATTTTGACTTAGCCCTTGGCTTCAGAACCCTGAAGTTGAGTGAGAAGCTGTAGGTATGTGAGGAAGGGAGATGACTCTGTTGCATATTCATGTGGTTTGTGTTTTGGGTTGTGTTTTTTTAAAAAAAGGCTGCTGCTTCAAAAGGTTGGCATTTGGTCAAAGCTGTTGAGAGAGGAGGTAGACAGGTAGTAAAAGCCCATTGATGCTTTGCCTCTTTGCAGTACTGATTGCTCAGGGAGGTCATACATGTTCATTGTAGAAGTGGAAGTAATGAGAGACAAATGGGGAGGGAAGGGAGAGCTAAATTTGCCTTTTCCTCTTCCCCTTTCTTCCAAGTCATAATGGGTTATGACGCACCTCGATTTGTGTGTTGAGTTTTTGCTTTGATCCTTAAGGATAGAAAAAGCTCTTTGTCAGACGTGTTCATGCTTGAATTTCTCCATGGGAATGGAAGAAGGATTGAATAGTAGTGGTGATCATTTACAAAAATCTATCAAAATGGTTGTGTGTTTTTTTTTTTAATAGATACAAGAATTCTCTTCTGGTTTCTGGACTGGTTCACAGCTTGCATGCTGGGATAAAACTGAAAGACCTTGGTCCTTATTTCCCAAACTCTCCATCTACCTGAGGGATGAAAACTCCAGTAGGTCGTTTCGGATCTCTATCCTACCACAGGTCTCAACATTCTTTGTTTATTCAGCTATGCATTTATTTTTACTATTATAAAGCACATGCTCTTAAAAAATAGGAGCTATTTTTAGCAGTAATAGAGAACTGGCTTATTGCATGCAAAGGAAATCTTTTTAAATGAAATTTTAAAAATTAAATTTTAAATAGGGAAAATAACAAACTTGTCAAACCTAAAACCAAAAAAGAGAAATACAGTTTCCCTCTAAGTGTGGTCCATGTAGTTAGGAATGATTGTTTTCAAACTGTCAGGAAAAATAGGCAAGCTTTTGTTTTGTTTTCACGAGCTCTAGCCACATTAGATGTCAATACAGAATGTCTCTGCCTGTTTTGATCTTCTCATTTTGGGAAGCAAATTGATTTGTTTTTCATGGCACTCTGAGTTGGAGAATTTCTGAATATGACAGTCTTGGCAATGAGCCTATGTCATCTCTTCACCAGTTTCAGTAACTTGGTTGGTTTATCTTTTATTAATATTCCATCCCAGCTTTAATGTGCCACTTTTAATTTTCCTCTCCGTCTTCCCCTCCCAGTATAGGTTGCAATACAGGCTAGTATCCTCTAACATTACTAATACAGTCTGTTACCTCAGGGGATGGTCAGGAGCAAAGGGAAGAATGAACCCATTAAGTACATTTTAACATGAAATATAGTAAAGCCTTATGATAAGCTTTTTCTGTATTGATCATGTAGCTTGGCAATGTTTCATCTTTCCTGAGGAGACAAGGGGTAAAATGTGACTTGAATTTATGAATCTAGAGCCTTGAAGCTGACACTGAACGCTCTCTGAATCAATTCCATCCTGATAATTTTTTAAATAATAAAATTATACTCTAATTTGAGTTCATATCCCAAGTTTTTTTCTCAGCTATCTTTTCCTTATGGAAAATACAATAAAAAGTGGCTCTCATGAATTTGCTGTTGACCTTCACATAGTGACTGACTGTGTTCAAATTTAAGCTTAGAATCCAAGAGCTTTACCTCTTAGCTGCATGTAAGCTTTGACCAGTTTTAAATCATGTACAGAAATCTCTTTGCCCCATTCATTCTCTATTTCCAGTGGAGTTTGAGTGCTTGAATATAAAAATCAAAAGGTCTGAACTTCTAAGTACTGTGTGGTGTTGCTTCTTACACTCTGGCTTTTTTTTTTTAATAGCTTTATATTCAACCCATCCTTGGAATAGGAGAGAATTTACAGTGCTACCGATTCGGCATCTCTTCCTCCACAAATGCTCTAGTTATTGGTGCTACAGTCATGGAAGGCTTCTATGTAATATTTGACAGAGCCCAGAGGAGAGTGGGCTTTGCAGTGAGTCCGTGTGCAGGTAAGAGAAATATTGTTTGGGGCTTGGTGAGTGAGGAAACACCTGCTCTCTCAGAGAAACACCTTTGCCACTTACCTGATGGGGAAAAGTGTGGTTACTCGTGAAGTGTATAGGTGTGTGTATATATATATGACGGGTATATTTCTGAGCAATCCCAAGCTATTCAGATTTCAAGGGGAGGAAAAAAAAAAAGCTGTATTGCACACAACAGTCTTTTGGCATGAAGTAAATCAGTCTCAGCTCTGGATGTCTTAGCTGCATTCTTCCTTCTGAGAGAAGATCTTCCTTCTGAGACATCTGTATGTGTGTGCAGTTTCCCCAACAGTTGCATGAGATGAGTCCCTGTTTTTAATGCAGCTTCATTTTTGTGTAGTTCCTGTTCTAATTTGTGGATAAATGGATACTTCAACTAACTTTTGCAATGTGCAGTGAAGTACCTTACTCACACTTTTCTCTTAATGTAAATTGTGCCTTTTCAGCCTCTTTGAAATACTCAAAGAAAGAGCCAAGATGAAAATGGGACTAAAATTAAAACTTGTGGTGTTTGTGTTGGTTCTAAACAAATAGTTTTCTCCGTGTAAGTAGAAAGCCATTCATTTTTTAATTAGGTGCTGAGAAAATGAGAAAACGCTCATAATTTTTGGCTGGTTTTACAGTGCTGGTTAAGTTTCTTGCTTTTTCATGATTTCTCTTACCTCACCAAGGGTAGTTAAAAACAAAAGTTTTGGGGTTTCCTCCCTTTGTTGTTGAGACATTGCTTTGGCACCACAAGAACATACAAGTGGGAGAGGAGGGAAAAGATATGCACCCATATGCAAGTCTCTGTCCCAAACAGAAGTGGTCTATGCCCTGAAAAGCATTGTGTCATCTGAGACTTGCATGAGAAAAGGACTAGGACTGACAATGCTTCTTTAATCCCCAGTATTTATGTAAGACAGGATAAGGGCAGTAAGTACTTGAGTGCTTAATGCAACCAGGTAATTGAGAGGAAAAAAGAGAGATACTAGCTAGCTGAGTTGTAGCTCCAGGGCATTTTAAAAGCTTCTTTTTTTTTTTTTTTTTTTTTTTTTTTTTTTTTCCCTCTCCATTTTTAATGGGTTCAAAATTGTCCTCTTTGAGCATGCTAGGAAAGAAAACCTGGATATTGATGTGGGTTGCTTAATGAAGACCTCTATGAGGTACCATGCAGTGATGAAAGACATATTTTGAATGCATCTGGAAGGAGAGTGTAACTAGACAAATACTGCAGACCAGGTTTTCCTGCCTTTCATTCTTCCTTGTGCTTCCTGACTGCAATTTTAGCAAGCATAGAGCTGCCTCCTGTCCCTGCCATGCTGCAGCCATTAATGGAGAGGGGAGGGGGCATTTTGACAGAACATATTGACCGACATGTGGTCAGCAGGGGACGTGAGCCAGCTGGTGCTCATAAGAACTGCTTTGACAGCACATCTTTGTTGAGAAAAAGAATCAGGGAACCATAACACCTTAGTGTTAACATTGCTACATAGAAACACAGAGTTTGGCCACTTCATGTAGTTCTGCTAACCTTGTCTAGAGAGGAAGAACTGAGCTTGTTCAATAGAACTGAAATCTGAATTTACATGAGCTTGGACACAAGAAGGACATGGACCTGTTGGAGCGGGTCCAGAAGAGGGCCACAAAAATGATCTGAGAGCTGGAGCACCTCTCCTGTGAGGCCAGGCTGAGAGAGTTGGGGTTGTTCAGCCTGGAGAAGAGAAGGCTGTGAGGAGACCTTATTGCAACCTTTCAATACTTAAAGGGGGCCTATAGGAAGGATGGGGACAGACTTCTTAGCAAGGCCTGTTGTGACAGGAAAAGGAATAATGGATTTAAACTGAAGAAGAATAGATTTACACTAGACATAAGGAAGAAATTTTTTACAATGAGGGTGCTGAAGCACTGGAAGGGGTTGCCCAGAGAGGTAGTGGAGGCCCCATCCCTGGCAACATTCAGGGTCAGGTTGGACGGGGCTCTGAGCAACCTGATCTGGTTAAAGCTGTCCCTGGTCACTGCAGGGGGGTTGGGCTAGATGACCTCTAAAGGTCCCTTCCAACCCAAAGCATTCTATGATTCTATGATACTGGTGCTAGAAGGTATTTCCTCCTTGTTTCTTTGTCCATGTTTCGTGCATATGTCTAACCTAGCATCATGGGAACTTAGCTTCTTGAGAAATCAGACAACACAAGCCACTGACTGAGACAAGATATACTGATTTGTCAGACTCCACTCACACGGGGCAGATGACATTTTGCTGGATGTGCCAGTTATTCTGAATTCACTTCTTCACAGCTTGTGGTTTCCATATTTAACACTACTTTCATCAGAAAACCACAACTGTGAGTGGTTAGCAGTCAGTGCAGTGTGAGGGATTAAGCTGCCTAACTGGCTTCCTGTGGAGGCTAGCCATGTCCTCCATAGCAACTATATTAATGTAATTTATTTGGAGCTTTTTAGTCTGTTCGTGGGCATAAATTAAATTGAATTACTGGTGGCATAAATCTTCAGAAATAGAGAAATATAAAAGACCATTTGGTGTGGCTTTGCAATGACCTATGCTTTCTTGTTTACAATAGAGTGTTAACACTAAATTTAAGTCCACATTTTATAAGATGTTAAATGGGTATGCGCTGAATACAAAAAAGAGGGGAACAACACTAAAAGCCTTAACTTCATTGAACTCCCAAGTTCCTACTGAGACTTGGCTAGAGATGAGGACTGGCTTATCCCACAATATTCCTTACACCATTTTCATTCTCCAGGCTGTACCAAGAGCGAGGAGAGTTAGATAGATGGCTGCAGGAAGGTATTCCATTGTAGCAGGAAAAGAAATTTGCTTTCTCCTCAATATGTGAAACCCTTTAAGACTTATTCTGCCTGTTACTAATTTCAAATTGTTTCAAGTTGCCTGCTCATAATTTCAGGGATAACACACTGTTTACAGGATGACTAGGAAAGGTTTTGGATCAGCTTCCTTCTTGAGACAAGATGTTCAGATCAACTGGTTAGTATTAGTGAAGCAACCTAATGGTACCTTGGCATCGAGCAGAATTAAACCCCTAGTATTTTTGTAGTGAGAACATCATAGGAGCAAGACTTGGGTATTTTTTAGGGAAGAAATGCACCGAACACTGTAATCATAAATGACTTCTACACTAAACTGTGATGAGACAGAAATGCACCCAAATGTGTGGGCACTAAACTCAGGAGAATGGATGGCATAAAGAATAGCAGAACTTCAGTCCAGAAGGACTTTGGTAACCTGGAGGACTGGGCAGCAGAAACCTCAAGAGATTCAGTGAACAGAAGTGCAAAGTTCTGCACCTCGAGCAGAGCACCATCATGCATGGGTACAGGCTGGGAAGGGACCAGCTGAACAGCAGCACTGCAGAAAAAGAACTGGGGATTACAGTGGGCCCTAAGTTGAATGCAAGGCAAGGGTGAGTGCAAGAAACCACGTAACGAAGGGCAACATCCACCAGTTACTTTCAGGAAGGTTCAAGTTGGACATGAGGAATTTCTTCTTCACCAGGAGGGTGGTACAGCACTGAAACAGGCTGCCCAGAGGGATCATGGGGTCTCCATCCTCAGGGTTTTACAAGACCTGGCTGGATAAAGCTACAGCTGACCTGATCTATTGATGGTGACAGTCCCGCTCTGAGTAGGAGGCTGGACGCGGTGACTTCCAGGGGCTCCTTTCAAGCAGCACTTTACAATGTTATGATAAATTTGATCTAACTTCAGGTTTGCTTCCTTTCCAAACCACTCAAGATGGTGAGCGAGTGAGTGAGCGTGAGTTTCAGTTCTACACAAATGTTATAAAATAGCATTTTCCCAGAGGTGCCATTTTTGTCCTCTAATCATCAGTAATGAAGAAAATCTCATTTATTCAAGGTCAAGAATTTATGGTAGGTAGCTACCACCAGATGTTCTAAAAAAATATGCCAAAATAACCTAATTCAGCTAATGTGTAATATGCTAAGTATGTCTGACTGTTAGTTTGTGTTAAGGGCTTGTTTGCACAATTTAGGCAAATTCCCTCTCTTTTGATTTCCTCTCAGTTTCTTGGGGGGTGGAAGAGGGTGAGGGAAAACTTTTCTTTTTGGAGGGAAGAAAGCAGAGGCTGTGCTGCTATTAAGCATTCTCAAAATGTAATTTAAAATGTCAGCCACTATGGCAACAGTTTTGTATTGCCTTTTTAAATAGGAGTAATTATTGTACTCAAGCCAAATAATGAGTAATTAGAGACTGTTTATTTTCAAAGCTATCTCCAAGGTGGAAAATTGTGCTGCTTTCACCCCCCCACCCCCCCTTCTTCAAAATAATAAATTCCTAAGTAGTAATACTTATGCCTTCCTTGCATTTCACGTTAGTATTAAATGTGGTTTAGTTTGGTTTTGCTGCAGGACTTCATAGAGACAGATGAAATGGTGTGAGGGGGTGAGATGTCCAGAAGAAACAATTGTGTGGTAGACAAACTGCAATACTGGGACTCTGAACAAAAGGGATTTCTGCCAGAGATCTTCTAGGTAGTCTTTCACAAGTCTGTCCTCTACTGTGCAGCTCCCTTACCATATCTACGTAACAGCAGTGTCTTGGCAAAGACGTGCTGACGATATAGGGTGCACGGGCCAGTTTATTACCATCTGATGAGTTGAGACAGTATGTGTTTGGTATTCATCAGTGTCAGGGTGCTTGTGGGTGCAGCCTCAGGGTTCACCCAGTCCACTCTAACAGCATATTGCTGCTAAAGGAGTCCTCCCATGCTTGCAGCTGGAGAAGGGGTTGGTTCACTTGAGTGATCCTACAGAAAATGCCTCATTTGGGCATTTTGTTTGTTATGACAGGTTCGTTTTCCATCAGATCAGCAAGTTGCCCTGACTCTCCTTGCAGCCTACCAGTCACTAGCACCATTACAAAAGAGGCAGCAAGGAAGAGGAGTGAGGGCGAGCAAAACTGTCTCTGCCAGCAGCAGCCCACGATTAAGTTGAATTAAGTCTAATGAGACTTAAATCTTAAAATAATATGAGGTGTTGGGAGGCCAGGGACTGAATACCAACTAAAATCTCTCTCAATAAATTGAAGATAAAGCAGCCCGCCTATTCTGCATTTGTTTCTCCACAAAGAACCTTAAAGGCCACCTTCCTGCCTTTCCAAAACCCAGGCTCCCCTCTTCCTTCCAAAGGATATTTTATGCTAATCTCTTTCAACATGCTTTCAGCAGTTGCGTGTGTAAATAAGAGATACTGTTTTCAGTAGGCAGGATCACTTACAATTTGGCAAGAGTGTGTCTGTGTGTAAAATGAACAAGGAGTTAAGCAGGAAGGTTAAAACTGAAGCCTTTGTAAGAAATACACAAATGTGTCTTGAAGTATCTGACCAGAGAAGCAAATTACAACTGTTTGGAAGGCTTGTTAAAATGCACAGACAGTACTAACTGCAGGCTCCTAGTTGCCCCAAGCAAGCTAAAAGGTATCCATCCTTCCCCGGCCATGCACCTGCAGATGCGAAATGCTCTGAATATTTTGTTGCCCTAGGCAACTCACTTGCTCTGCCTTTACAATACGCGTAGCCCTGTCTACAACTCAGGGGAACTTTCCTGCGCTTGCCATGGTTACTGTGACAACCATGGGCAGCATAACCCTTTTTAGCAAATACTGGTTTAAAAAGCAGGGGTTTGTGATGGTAATGAAACAAGTCACACAGTCTGTGATGTTACCGAAATGGATGGCTGTTCAAAAATGGAGCTGCCAAGGCACCCCTTCATGCTTCTTGCCTTAGCTTTGTCATCTCCATTTTTCGAGCTGCTTGGTTAGCTTCTCCCTCCCTGCCCAAGAGCACTGCTCCTTCATGTCCCAGCTCCTCACTCCTGACATTGACCTTCCTCTCCACCATTCCCCTTTTCTGTACAGCTGTCACCCAGCTCTCCTGCCTCACCTCCTTTTCCTCCTGAATTTTCACTTCCACTCACAAGAGTATCTGCGCTGCTTTCCACCCTGCACCTTGTGTTTAGGCTACAGTCCTTTAAGGTATCTATGAAGCTAATGATCCTGCATGCTGCTCCCTAAGATCCTGGAAGATAGCAAACACAGAAGATGTAAGAATCATCTGAGGTACTCCTCCAGTTCTTGCAAATGGCAGAAACAAACAAAAACTGCCCAGTTTTTACACCTCCAGTGTAGGTGTTGTAGGATTTTTAAGCTTTGTTAAATTGACATTTATGAAAGAAATGAGAGACAAAAGGCGGTCCAGTGGCTTGAACTTTAATTTGGGCTGTGGGAAACCTGATTTAAATGTCTGCTCTCTTGTTGACAGCCCGTGTAGATGTGACAGTATCATGGTCTCCTTATGCTTCAGATTCCCATTTTATAAACATGCAATACTAGTATTTTTATTGCAATGAGAAATACAATAAAACATGAGTATGGTGAGGTGTATGATGATGGAGGAAAAGGGATATATAGGTATTTAAGCTAGATCTTTTGTTATGTGCTTTTAAATGGTGTGTATAGACTTAATGTTTTTCTTTTTATGATTTCTCAGAAGTTGATGGCTCTCCAGTATCTGAGATTGAAGGCCCTTTCACAACAGCAGATGTTGCAAGCAACTGTGTTTCTAGTGTTTCTTTCCATGAACCAGTGTTGTGGATTGCCTCCTATGCTCTCATGAGCCTGTGTGGAATTATCCTCCTTGTACTGATCATCCTGCTGCTTATTCCACCACGGTGTCAGCACCGCTACACCGACAATGACGTGGTCAATGACGAATCTTCCTTAGTGCGTCATCGATGGAAATGAGAAACTTGATCATGAAACCTGGGACTTAAACAGAATGAAGAACAAAGTACTTTGCCAAGGGGAAGAAGCCAATGCCTCAGTCCTTCCTACGTTCATTACAATTGCTGTTGAAATCCCGCCAAATACCCTGCATCATAACTTTTTAAGCTTTATTTTCTAACACCGATTCTGAACCAAAACACTGTTAACCACCTCGTAAGTGCTAAGGTACTGGATTTGCTACTGCAGTACAATGAGCCTTTATGCTCTCAATAGTACCTTCTTTTAAAAAAAAAAAAAAGGAAAAAAAAAAAAGAGAGAAAAAACACACCATGATGTTCTTCCACTATCTGAACAAAATTGTCCATCCCTTTTTCACAAAAAAAGGAGCTGTCAGTATTTTCTAACTAATCAAGCCCTGACTGTAGAAAAAGAGGAAAAAAAAAATCTTTCTTATTAATTGCATTAAATGAATACTGCTTTCTGTTTACATTAATTCATTTTGAAACTGTGCTATGGTGCGGGGGAGGGAGAAAGGTCAGACTTAAGCAGCAGAGAAAAGCAAGTGAGGTAAAGAAGAAATGTTGGTTTGTGGGGTTTTTTTTACTCAGGATCACTGCTGCCACTTGAGAGGGTCGCCCTTCCTGAGTGTCATTACAAAATAGTTTGAGGAGGTGAAAACTGGGAAACAAACTTGTTCAGCCTTAGTGTAAAACAAGACTACCTCTCCTAATTTACAAGGATGCTACCACTGGTAAGCGTGTGGCTTAGAACTGGTATTGAAGCACAAGACGCTCCATATAACCAAATACAACTCCTTGGCTTCAAAGTAGTGGATTTTATAAAAATTAATACTTCATGATTTTCCACTTTGGTGCACAAAAAAAGCCTTTCAGCTTTCCCCCTACTGTGGGGTTTTGTGGGGTTTGTTGGGTTTTTTTGAGTTGAGGATGACTGATATTTAGAAAAGGCTGGTCTGCACATGTATGGACAGATGATAAAGCTAAGGTCTGTGTTGTGCCATCTCTATTGGTATTCCTAGTGAGCGTGGAAAAGGAAACAACAAAATGAGAAAGACAACCCTCTTTTTTGGCTGAGCTCAGCAACCTAGAAGTTCCAGGGAAAAGTGTCTGTCTTCATGAACAGACTGTGAAGTGAAATTCTTAATGCTGGCTTGTTTTTCAACTTGAACAGCAGTTGGAGGTGTTTAGTTTAGCTTCACCAGTGTGTCACTCAAATGAAAAGTGTGTGTACTGACTGGCCAAAAAAAAACCGTGGTAAGACTGAAAGCAATAGTAGGAGAGAGCAGGGAAGAATATATTTGACCAGACCTCTGTTGTGCAAGCATAGATCTTAATGCTGAGGTCAGAACATGGTATTTTCTTTGCAGACAGGACAGTTTTTCTTTTATGTAGTCAGTGAGCATTGCAGGACCTCCATTGCTTTTCTATAACACTGGCATAGTGGATTTGAAAGATAAACAATGCAAGGTCGAGGAGTCTGGTGATAACTATTAGTTGTCTAGGTTTTTTTTTAAAAAAAAAATTCCTTTGCATTTCAATAGCAGAGCAGTTTGCATATTTGTGTGGGAAACAAGGAGAGGAAAAAAAAAAAAGGAAACTTAGCTCTGAATCTCCCAATCCCTTGCCTAGAAAATTTTCTGCCTATAATCCCTTCATATAGCTTTCTGATTCACACTGCCTCTGCATGGAATAAGCAAGGATTTCTTTTCAGGAATGGTGCTTTTACAGAGGTGCATGTAATGTGTGTGAAAATAAGGCACTGCTGGGTTTTTTTTAAACTAACTTGTGTATTTCACTTCATAACTGGAAGTGCCTATGGTTTTCTTTCCTTTTTAATTCTTGCACTTTCAGATTGCTTGGCTGAATAGAGTGAAATAATTGGTGTTGTGATCCAACATCTAAAAATGATTTCTCTTGGAATTAGGAGTTGGAAATAGGAGGAAACATTGAGTTTGCTTCCTTCTTCCTCTGCCTCTTAGTTTTTAAGGGGAGAAAAATGATGAATTATAAGGAATATAAGAAACTATAGAGCTTAGGTGTTTTCTTCCTATTCTATTTTCCATACGTCTCTCTCAATGTCTTATAATTAGAATTTTTAGTACATGTTATAACAAGAAGACGTTCCCTTGAGTTTTTCTTAAAGCAATAGACTTTGCTCTGAAAAGAAAGAGTGATGTTTCCAATTCTGTGATTCGGTTCCATATCATCCTCCTGGGTTTGGTTTGACACATAACAAATAATTTCAAAGTTGTATTCCTCCTTCTACAGTATAGTAATATAAGTAATGCTTCTGTCACCTGTTTCAAACAGAAACACAGTGTGAATGTTTGGATTGATACAGTGGTAAACAATGAGCCCTTTTTCAATTCAGAAAGTAATAACACTTGTATGCTCTTAAAATGTTTCTTAGCTGCTTCACTCTCCCCACCCCCTCCTATCTCCTTACCACAGAGAGTTTTAGGAAGGAATTTTCTGGGGAAGGTTCCTAGTATGCTTTCTAATGACAAGTGAGATTTCTTCTGAGTTGCTTAACAAAGTCTTTTTAGTGCGCTAGATTTCATATAAAAGCCATTCAGTTTTATCCTTTCCCTTTGAATGTCATTGGTCAAGACATTTTAATAGAAACACTTGAATTATATAAGCAATAATCAAGTAGCACAAATGAAATAGTAAGATATTCTTGAGTTTTCATGGCATTCCTTGCCACTAAAATTTGGCTTATAGTAAAAATGCTGTTAGCGACATCTGCTAGCAGCACAAACTTCATCTCAGCTTGTAAATTGATACTTACACTGGCAGATATTCAGGTGAGTATTGCTTTGTTGCTCTGGCAACAAGAAGAGCAATAGAAACCCTTGAGGGTTCATTTTTAGCCTACAGCACATTAAGAAAAATAATGCTCTTGAGCATTTTTCTATGAAAGATGAAATACAATGATAGACTACAGTGTTACCAAGTGTATCTTACTAGTGATCTCTTTCTTTTAAAGAAGAGTGCTGTGAGGTATTTTATACTCCTGTTAACTACCTTCAGAGATGAAGATTAAACCATACCTTAAAAAAAAAAAAAAAATTAAAAAAAAGGGGGCCCAAAAAACAGAGCATTGAGTAAAGATGGTGCTGGAAAATATTCTCTATTTATTGTGGAAGGCAGGATGCTCCACATCACAGCACTCCAAATCATTCCTTGTACATGTACCGGTATTTCTTGCAGAACCAGTGTTATCCTAATGTGAATGCAATATCATGTACCATGAAAATGTCAGAAAGCCGTGTTTCATTGGATGCAGCCTTTTAGATAATTGATGCTATCAGTTCAATCATTAGGGATTTGAAGATGTGTGATTTGAGTTCAAGTAGTTAAACCTGAGTTCAGGCATGGGAATATGTTAGTTCTATCTGACTGCCTTCACAAGTTTTAGAAATATTATCATGGGCTTTTTGGCTCAATTTGAATGCTGACGAAAATAGATGAAGAATTTTAATAAGCCTTTTTTTCAGGTGCTGTAAAAGAAGTTAGGTAGAGGAGATCGTTCTGTTTTTAAGGTGAAAGAGCTTGTATTTAGGATCTGTATGTTAGATCAACCTAAACGCAATATATCAAGGCAGTGTACCATTCCAGTTCTCAGCTTTGATGCCGTGCAGGTTAACTAGTGGTAATGGCAGAGCTATTGGTTTTGGTATCTCTTGTTAACATGTCAGTTGCTTAACAACAGTTAACTCTTTATCAGCTCAAGTCAACCTATGGGTATTCTACCCAGTTACTTGATTTGTATCATCTGGCTATGTTTCACTGAAGGATGAGCCATTTGTATACCAACCTTTTCCTTTTAAATATGAAAAGGCTTATGAAAGTTGCTTAACACAGCACATTTTCAGAGAGAGAGGGGTCCTTAAATTTTCTGATAATCCAGAATGATTATGCTGCTGAAAGCTGCTTTGATTTCTGTAGAGGTTTCCAACAACTAGGCTGGTTGGTTGTCATATCCTGATCTCAGGCATAAGCCTCATATATAGAAGTAGTAATATGAGCAGCATAATGAAGGGGGCTGGTACAATGACCTGTGGAGGTGAAAGTAAAGGAGATTATGGAAAGATAAATAAGCAAGCTACCCTTAACTTCACTTCATTAAAAACTGTAAAAGCATAACAGATTGATGCTTTTAAGAAAGGTCTGTACAATTTACCAAGACATTAGTTCCTGTCAAACTTGACTCCCTGATTGATAAATTGTTCATTTCTGGCTGCTGAAGTTCTTGCTGCTGTTCAGAGAAGTGAAGACAGATTGGTAATGGGATACAAGCAATCTTCCGAGCCAGTCAGTTTTTCTGGCTTTTGGGGCCTAATTAGACGTTAGGCCAGGCTTGTTAGTAATCCAGAATCTTAGTAATGGCTCCTCGGGAATGTTATCTGAAATATAATTGTTGGCTTCATCCGAACCCCTGAATGAGATGGATTCGTACCGCAAAAGCCACTGCTACAACTTGCACTAGCTGACAAAGGGGCTATGGTGAGCTGAATCTGGCTTGTGTTGTGAAATGTGGAGATGCTAAATAATTGAGTCTTCTACCAGACTTCCAGATCAAAGCTGGGTCACCTTGGTAGAGCAGAATGGGAGAGCGACTGCAATTGCTGACAAGCTGCTGTAAGTGTAATGTCAGTCAGTCACCCAGCTTCTTCGGCAAGGGTTTGCTTGTCTGAATATTTTGAAAGCCAGTGTACTCTAAGGTGCCTATTGCTGCTACTGGGAATTATCCACTCACAGGTGAATAAGGGGCATGATCATCTTTAAGTAGAACCATTGGCTGGTTATTGAATATTCCCCTCTCCATATAACAAAGCACATAGTGATATGTCTCACCCCTAGCAATAGTCTGTTTGTAAGCAACAAAACATGTTATTTTAAAATGTGTTGACATCGGTGACTGTACAGTAGTAATATAAGAATGTTTTGTGTTTGCTTTTTTTTTTCTTTTCACTGTATCTAGGCTTTGGCTGGATCTTTGTGGTCGGGTAGTTTCTGAAATACTGGGAATTTTAGATTAGACTACAAAGGCACATGCAGAATTTCTTTTAAGCTAGCTAAAAAGTAAACCCCAGAAGGTAATTTTCAGCATTTAAAAGGAAGTAAACCTCAATAAGTGTTCTCTCCTTTTTTTTTTTTTTTTTTAACTGCTGATAATCACTTAAAATCAATGTATTTTAGTATGGCTGCTGTCCTACTAATTCACTGTCTGTAAATCTTCTGATTTTTCTGGTTGTCTTCTGGC